TGGAGTTTTTTTCGCAATTTTGTTAAGCCATTTTATTTTTACGTTTCGTGCGAGTGTTCATTGCGCTTCTAAACTGTCTATCTCCCTAACTATTTTGCGCACGCGACGGACCATCTTATCCGCATGCAACCGCCCTGAAAAGGAATACCTCTACATGCCTGAATACCTTTGTGTTCCATTGAGAACACATTGAGCTACAATGACCGCCATAAGAGAGGGGACCTAGTCACTGGTAGCGGACTGTTTTTTTCATGAAGTAAGACCGGCTACCAGGAAAATACATGCTTTTACCTTACTACGGGAGAGAAAATGTTTGAAAAAACTTTGCCACCATAATTCTCTTATTCTCGCCGAACCAAACTACCAACATGATTCCACCAAGTCTTCTTACGGGTACCATTTGCACCCTCTAAGCTATGGGTACCATTTGTACCCCCTAACCCCAAGAAAAACGATGCCAGTTTTTTTTGAAAAAAGGTTTAGAGATGAGGAAAGTGACAAATTTCTTTTTTACTAACAAGCGATAAGATATTACAAAGAATCAAACAGCAATTTCCAATCGTTTATTTCGAAAGGCAAAACTCTGGCAAAGCTTTTCTTGCACACATCCTGCCTCATGGCCCTGTCTAAACTGTTGCCTTGCTGCACTTGTAGTGCGTGTGATCAGTTTTCAAATTCAGAAACTGACGAATTTCGAAAGTACAGTTTTTGCAAAGAAAATCATTGTTATAAACTTTCGTTCAAGCTATCAGAGTCTACTGAACAGAAAATAGATCGAATGTCTAAATATACTGAACATTTAGACCCCCAGGATTTATGCCGGATTTCATTGTACCCAGAACAACAAAACAAGCAATAGCTTGGGTGCAAGTATCTATATATCTACAACCTGTTCGCAGGCAAACAAGAACAGCATCTAATCTTTTTGCTGTTTTTTCCCACTTATGAAAAATGGAAAAGTCGCTAAAATGGATGAAAAGTAAAGCGTATAGCCTTAATTTTTTGCTGTTTTTTGGTCATTTATGAAAAATGCAAAAGTCGATAAAAATGGACTAAAAGTAAAGGGAATAGCCTTACTTTTTTGTTGTTTTTTGGTCATTTATGAAATATACAAAAGTCGCTAAAAATGGACGAAAAGTAAAGGGTATAGCCTTACTTTTTTGCTGTTTTTTGGTCATTTATGAAAAATGCAAAAAGTCGCTAAAAATGGACGAAAAGTATAGGGTATAGCCTTACTTTTTTGCTGTTTTTTGGTCATTTATGAAAAATGCAAAAAGTCACTAAAAATGGACGATGATTTCATTTATGAAAAATGCAAAAGTCACTAAAAATGGACGAAAAGTGAAGGGTATAATAGCCTTACTTTTTTGCTGTTTTTTGGTCATTTATGAAAAATGCAAAAAGTCGGTAAAAATGGACGAAAAGTTAAGGGTATTATTATTATTAAGAACTTTATTAGCATGACCTTATTAACTAATTACAGGTATTGCTAAAGTATATTACATAGTAAAGATTATAAGAGTAACAATAACATAAACAAATTATGACTACGGAGTAGTTCATATACCTAATAGTTTCTTTTTGTGATAGCCTTCCTTTTTTGCTGTTTTTTGTCATTTATGAAAAGAAAAAAAATCGCTAAAAATGGACGAAAAGTAAAGGGTATAGCCTTACTTTTTTGCTGTTTTTTTGGTAATTTATGAAAAATGCAAAAATTCGCTAAAAATGGACGAAAAGTGAAGGGTATAGCCTTACTTTTTTGTTGTTTTTTGGTCATTTATGAAAAATGCAAAAAGTCGCTAAAAATGGACGAAAAGTTAAGGCTATAATAGCCTTACTTTTTTGCTGGTTTTTGGCAATTTATGACACATGGAATAAGTCGCTAAAAATGGAAGAAAAGTTAACGCTATAGCCTTATTTTTCGCTGTTTTTTGGCAATTTATGAAACTTATTTTTTGCTCTCGCCATATTGTAATAATCCAACATGTTTCCGGCTAGTCACCATTATTTTATGTTAACCGCAGGGCCCACCCCCGTATTTATCAAAATCCACAAACCTTACGACGTCTTCTTTCTTCAGTATTGAGCAATCACTCCCCGCTGTATGATTGCCCTACAATTCCACTTACGAGGTTATTAATAGTACCAATACATCTTTAATAATGCACATTTGCCCAAGATATCCCTCATGAGATTGCACATTTGCCCAAGATATCCACCATTGTTCTTCAACGATGTGGTAAGGTGGGGATATTTTCATATTTTGCATTGAAACAAGGTTTGGGGTCCGATTCTGAGGGGCCTAGTGCGTGATTTCACGCTTGAAGCCTTAACCTAAGCTGGTCGAGTTTATCTCACTCGCTCATGTTGGTCTTAAACTAAAACCTAAGAGACCTAATGCACTTGTAAATACTATAAGACGTGCAAATCCTATTGAGATACCCCTTTTAATACAAGACACCATTCTGCCACAAGAGCAACAGACTTGTAGCTACTTTTTGCAGTTTTAAAACACTGGAAACAGTGCAAACAGTCAATATTTTTAATAGCTAAAACGTATAATGATAGCAATAGCTGCCCTTTATAGAAACAGCACTAGGAAATATTGAAATAGTATACCTGGATGTCAATCATATAGAAATGACATCTTATAAACAGCAGAGTTTATTTTTGAGCTACTGAAAACATATAGTGATAGCACTAGCTGCCCTTTATAGAAACAGCACTAGGAAATATTGAAAAATTAAATAGTACCTGGTTGTCAATCATATAGAAATGACATCATATAAGGGACGGACCATTAGAAAAGTGATGGGGGGGGAGGGGATTTTCTAAGAGGCAATATTTTTTTTTTTTGTACACCTATAGAAGAAATATATTTTTTTTCTCACTTGATGGTAGGAAATATATTTTTTTTAAGTGAAATTTATAGGCCTATCAGTGGTGTAGTCCTGGAATGTTAACAAGGGTGGCTCTCCAAAGTGTCCTGAATTGGCGGGAGGGGTGTACAATAAGATATTTTGGAAATTCTAAATTTTGTTGGGGTTTATTCTAGAAATTGTGGGACAAACATTCGACGTTATTCTTATTAAAAACAAAGGGGCTGAAAGCGAGGGCCGAAGGCCCGAGGAAACTTTTAAATTTAGAGTCTCTGAAATGCCATTTCCTGGACTTTGGGGAAGATTTGACAGAATTCTGATGGTCAGAAAACAGCGTTTTAGTATGTCGAAATTTACAATTTAGTAGTATTAAATGGGCGAAGGCGTATTTAGTCAACTATATATTGGATAAATTGCAGGAAATTATGGGTAATATCTTCATTCTTTGCAGTTTGTCATGGATAATGTAGCAGCTTACAATTAATCAATTGTCAGTGTTTTAAAGATATATTATTTAAATGTATCGAGTAGCTACAGATTTGTCCTTGGCACATATGGTAAAGACTCTACAATGTTTGAGCCTCTGACCGTATAGTGATAACGTAAACTTTATATAAGTCTATGCGCCGAGGGGACTGACCTAACCTTGGCAGACTATACTTGCAATGGGGGGCGGTGAGCTAACCTGTGCCTTGCCCGCGGTAGGAACGAGTGCTGCCTGCTCTCTCAGGCAAAATGTCTCTTCACCCTGCTGACGAATGCTAGAGGACACATGATTTTGTCAAAAGAATGATTATTAGCAAATTATTGGGGGGGGGGGGCTGCAGCCCCAAGCCCCTCCCGTTGATACAGCCCTGGATAGAGTTTAAATCAGACAAAACAGGATCGGTATTTCAACAGCCAATTTGCTACGGCGCATGAACAACGCGGTATAAAGATTACAAAAATCATTATTGTGTTAAATGATGACTGAAAATGAGATACAATTCTAAAGAACATTCTCGTTTACTGATATTTTTGTGTGTGTTTTTGACGTTGTTAAGATTATGCAACGCGCCAAAAACATAGGGGGCTCAGCCCCTCCAAGTCAACATGAAATTTTAACAAGGGGTGCTAAGCACCCTCGAGCCCTCCCTCCACTACACCACTTGGCCTATCTTCTAAGCAAGGAATTTTTTTTTTTTGCACTATGCCTGGGAAGATTTTTTTTTTCTTAATTTTTTTCTGGAAATAAATTTTTTTTTTGGTTTTGCCCCACCCCCCCCCATCACTTTTCTAATGGTCCGTCCCTAAACAGCACAGTTCATTTTTGAACTAAAACACATAGTGATAGCAATAGCTGCCATTTATAGAAACATTAACAGCACTGAAAAACATGGCAGTGTAGTACGTAATTCTTAGGCTAAGGCATATAGCAATAGCGAGCTGCCCTTTATATACAAACAGCACTGGAAATATTTCGTGGGAAAAAATGAATATTTTTAGGCTAAGGGTATATAGCAATAGTTTCCCTTATTTATAGAAACAGCACTAAAAATATTTTAATGGCCGAAAAAAGGATATTTTTAGGCTAAGGTATATAGCAATAGCAAACTGCCCTTTATAGGAACAGTACTGAAAATAACATTACAACTTTATTAGATATCCCAAGATACCTGCAACACGTCCAGACCCAAAAAGTGGCGGCTTCTTTTTACACGCACAGTTCGTTCATGCTGAATGTCTCACAGAGACCTTGGAAAATAATTAAGCTGCAATGCAACACTGCCAATGTTTTATCTTATATTCTATAATTGCTTTCTCCAATTTCAATGAAGTATAATTAAATAAATACGATTATAAACTCACGAGCCATGGACATATAATTGGGCTCTATCGTTGCTGCTTCAAGTCTCAAGATTTCTTAGTGGCCAAATGGTAGCATGTTGACAGGAGTCAAATATTATCAGGAAGGCATGCAGTCGAGTGGGGCTCTCTCAACTTCTTCCAGTGCTAAAGTCATGGTTTATGATGTACATATGAAAATAAAACAAAAATGGGCGATCAAAATAAAAAATGCGAAGGTTTCAAAAGCTTGACTGCCTAGCGCAGTGAAAGATATTGGGTTTTCCAGCGACACACATCGCTGTTCTGATCCATCCAGCCTAAAAATAAACGTAGGAAAAGAGATATTAATAACATAGAAATACAAATATAAATATATTAAGGAGTTTTTTTTGTATGTTACGTAACACGCGCTCAAAACTAATGCGTATAATATACCACTTGAGGTTATGACTAAGTTCAAAATTTTTATTTTTCGATACGTTTCTCAATCGGCAAACAGACTTAAAAAGTATGTTTAGTGCTTTATCTGTAAAATAATGCTAAAATGAAGAGATTTTAGATGATACGCCAAAGAGAAATTGACGTCTGAAGTTCAGTAAGTTTTGCTTATATGGCTGTAAATATGGTGTCAATTTTAAAGCATCATTGATAATTGTATTTTAATTGACAATTTTTAACTATTATTTTATGTTTCTCAACCGGCAGATGCATTTAAAAAGGTAGCTAACTGTATAAACTAGAGAATAAAGCTAAAACAAAGTAATTTTGAGAGGAACGCCAAAAAGATTTTAGGTTTTGAACACTTTTCATTGCAAATACGTGACATTGAAAAAAATTGCCTCTTAATACATATGGCTTCAATGCGAAGTTCATAAAGGAGTATATAGGCGGCAGTGAACTCTAATAAGACTGGAACGATAACTCGGCCGCCATCTTTGAAGCCAAATTGAAGGCCGCCATTGGAGGTACGGAGGCGAAAATACACCTCTTCGAAAAACTCGGATTTCTGCCTTTCTAGCTATGCTAGAACATAGGTAAAAAGCTTAAAAACATCTACGATACTTGGACTATTGCACAAATCATGTTTGGAAGCCGTAGAAAAGACTTAACGTTATTTTTTGTGTACCTGAAAGTCGTATTTTGTTCGGCACGGAAAATATTTTGTTATTTTCTTTAATACAAAAATGGTACCTTTCGAGATTTTGCTGTTAGTGGATGTAGAATACTTAGAACTATCCAGAAAACCAAGTTTGAATCTTTGAAATTGAAATCTTCGGACGAAAAACCTAATTTTTCGGTGTATTTTTGCTAAAAAAACAAAATTACGAGGAAATTTAACTCTCCCCAGTTCTTTTTTGAAAGTCACAGCGCGCGAACTTGGCCGGGCGGCAAATCACAAATCGCAAATCACGGGGGATTTCTACGGAAAAATCGATTTATTCACGTTTTAGAGAAGTCAAAAAGCACTCAAAATAAACAACTATACCTAGACGTTAATACAAAAAAGGTATTGGTCCGTAGACTTACGTTTTAAAGTTGTTTTTTTTTAGTTAAAGAGCAAAGTTCACTTCGGCACGTTCGACTAGTGTCGTTTTTATGAAAACAAACCTGATATCCTTCAAACTTTTGCTGTTGTAAGATGCAAAGCAGTTCTAACTATCAAATAAATCGTATTTGGGTTTTTAAAATTGAAGTCTTTTGATGAAAAACGACTTTTTTTTCGTCGAAAATAAACTTTGACTGAATTTTCCACTCCTCGAAACTCTCCTTAGTCCTTTTAAAAGTGCAATTTCCTTGCTCGGTTGGCTTCAGGCAAGTATGGGCATGTTTACCTGAGTTATCGTTCCAGTCTTATTAGAGTTCACTGATAGGCGGTGTGTAAATTACGTCATCGTCGCCATATTGGATGACATTGACAAAGGATTAAGTATTAGATAAAACATGAGCAGCCGAACTTTATCTGATATACAGACTCGAGCCGAAGGCGAGAGTTCAGTATAATATCAGATAAAAATCGGATGCGATGTTTTATCGTACTTAAAAAATGACCCATCTTATGAGTTCATTGGCGAAGTAATTTTAAAAATAAACATTGTCTAAGCCGAGAAAATCAAAGCTGAAGTTTATGTAAATCAGGTTTATAAACATTGATTATAAACATTCATTTCTTTTGAATTTTCTCATGAATTATTAATGAGTTTTATAAGTGCACATATCATCCAACATGGCGAAAATCTCTTTGCCCTTTGAATCCAGTGTGCATCAAAAAAAGTATAACCTTTCAAATTTAAATCAAGCATAACGCCATATTCTATTGAATTCATCTGACAAGCTATAATTGCTTCGAACACGTTAGCGACCCGTAAAACAAAAGACTTTCTACTTATATGGAGTTTTGGGATATGTACGCAGGGCGGTAGCTAGCACGTATAGTTCGGGGGGGTTGTCGTGCCATTTCCTGGACTTTGGGGAAGATTTGACAGAATTCTGATGGTCAGAAAACAGCGTTTTAGTATCAGTTGAAATTTACTATTTGTCTACAATTTAGTAGTACTAAATGGGCGAGGCGTACATTTAACTAACTATATATTGGATACGTTGCAGAAAAGTATGGGTAATATCTTCATCCTTTGCAGTTTGTATTAATCAATTGTCTGTATTTTAAAGCTATATTATTTAAATGATAAAGGTCTGCATGATTTTGAAAAAAGAATGATTATTCGTAATTTTTTTTTTTGGGGGGGGGGGCTGCAGCCCCCTGGTTGCTACGGCCCTGGAAAGTGTTTGCTATCCGGAAAATGAAGACGCAATAAATTATAAATTGATTAAGGCTGTTTTTATTAGACGCACTTAGAATATCAATGTATCATAATTATATTATAATAATAAAGTCATGTAATAAGTTTCACAACAATGCCACAATGGCTATATATTGTGCGACAGCAATTGTTTCTGTTTCAATAAAACGCAATGAAAATGCCATTGCAGGCATGATAAATGTCGCAAATTTATTCGTCTTCATGAACCATTTCTCAACCAGTAGGTCTAGGTCCACACTGTCTTTAATAATTTATTATCTCTTTCGCTGTTTAAGAAAATTAAGCTTTGTAATCGATGATCTGACATGGAATTGCACGGTTTCACTTGAAAAATACGCATATTTTACGCATAGACATATTACAGAAGTAATAAACCGAAAAACATTTACCAATTTACGATTTCTAAATTGTTATCCATGTAAATGCCATGCTTTCGACTTTAAATCAGTTTATACTCGGACAATGCAATTCTATAATATTTTCTCTGTTTAACAACTAAAATTTCGTTATACTATTATTGCCGTAATTTTCCGAATGGCCAACCCCATTTTCCGAATATGTTAATTCTAAAAAAGTTGGGGGTTAACCCCCAAATTCCCCATCTTGCTACGGCCCTGCATGTACGAACAACTCAGTCTCAATGAACTACCATGTACAGTACAAGCAGCATTAAAATGAAGTTATAATTAATCTCTTTTGTGAATAAGACATGTTTTCGTCGCGTATCATTAACTCAAAGCAGTTGAGAACAAGATTTAAAATTGCTCTCAATTTCGCAAAACAGCTATTTGTATACGGTTTTTTATATATATAGCCTCTTTGGGTACTTATAATGTAGAATAATGAGAAAAATTTCTCGAACTCAAATTTTGTGAACCAGGGGGGTGTGTCTTTTCCAACAAACTAAAAATGGCTCGCGCACAAAATTTAAAAGCTGCAATCATATTTCGAGTTAACAGATGGAAAATTTGTCGGGTTTTTAATTACTGTACAAAATATCAGACAATTTGGTTGAGTTTAAGCCCTTTAACTATTCACGCAAAGTTACAATTTTCCCGAAAAATCAGCTATTTGCATGCTTAATTAATGCATTTGCCTAATTTGCATATGTCAGCAATATGCAAGTTAGGTAAATGCATTAATTAAGCATGCGAAAGGCTGACTTTTTAGAACAAAATGAATAGTTAAAGGCTTAAACTAAACCAAATTGTCTGAAATTTGGTACAGTAATTAAAAACCCGACAAATTTTGAATCTATTAACTCAAAATATGATTAGGGAGTATTATGCCGAGGGGGGGGGATGAAGATGTTAAGGGGAGGGGTCCAAAATATTTTCTGGCATTAAAGGGGGGGCTCTGAAAGTTCTTGATATACTGAAGGGGGGGCTCTAAACTTTTCAAAGGTTTGACCCCAGCAAATTAAAGTTAAAATGTTTACATCAGTTTCAGGTAAAATTTGCGTAATAAAGTAATTATTTTTGTGAAATGATAACCATTTTTGTAAAATACAGTCAATTTACATGCAATTTGTTTGCGAAATTTGCTTTAGAAAACGCCAGAAATTCAGTCCTAGAGCTTCGAAAATGTTAAAAACTTTATAGTATAAGAGTGCCAATCAATCACAAAAAGCTTTATTATAATTATTACACGTATAATCCTCTGACATCCCCCCCCCCCACCCCAAACGTCAGATGCTTTGCTACGTTCCTGATGGTTGTATTCGAAACCGATTTCAGTTTTAAGATATCCTTAGTCTGCTCTTCTAAATGGATACATGAAATCACCTATAGCTTATTTTAAATTTTTTTGCACCATATACAATTTGCAAGAATGATATGTTGTATGTTTATGGGATATTTCGTACAAACGGGATGGAAATTAAAGAAATTGAAGCATACTGGCACTTTTGCATGCATTTTTGACAGGCATGCAAAGGCATTTGCAACAGATGCCGGGAGATACGTTGGGTGGGGGCGACATACTGTAAGGTTCCAGCACATTACCCTGATCCAGGAAATCCTGGCCACTACATGAACGTGTTCAAGACTCCGAATACGCTGAATGATGGACAACAACAACCTGTTGATAATTTCACCCCTAGAGCCAATTTAAAATGTTTTAAAGACTGGTGCCATTTCATCTGGCGCTAGTGAGGTGAAAGAAGCAGCAGATCGGTAGTTTTGTTGAGGAGAAGCACATGCTTGAGTATATCAGACATCTTGAGGAACTGCAAATTGTATCTATGATAAGAGAGAATTCCGGATTGTACTCCTTCGATTCCGAATTCTAGAGGGGGGGGGGCATTGAAAATTTTAAAAACTTGGAGGGGGGCATCGAAATTTACCGATAACCTCAACAGGGGCCCTGTAAAAATATGAGCTTTTTTCAAGACATCTTCATCCCCCTCCCTCGGTGTAATAAATGTACTTTCCCTTACAACTTTTAAATTTTGTGCACGAGCCATTTTTAGTTCGTTGGAAAAGACACACCCCCTGGTTCACAAAATTTGAGTTCGAGAAATTTTTTTCATTATTTTACATTATAAGTACCCAAAGAAGCTATATATATAAAAAACCAGATACAAATAGGTGTTTTGCGAAATTGAGAGCAATTTCAAATCTGTTCAGTTTTTTTTTATACACCCTGTATAATTATCGTTAATTTGAATTTGAAAGGTTGTACTTTTTTATACACACTGTATTACTATACTATTAAAAGGTAAAATTTTAATTCAATTACTTTGATATTAGTTCTTCTCTCATAGCCCAACGTCTGAAGCATTGACCTCTGCATTGTTGAATATATGACTCTCCTTTGACAGAACACATAGTGCAAAGCGATCTTTTTACAAAGCCAATTAGCAATCACGGATGCATTGCGTTCCACATCCACGATGCACAAACTTTCGGCCTTTGGCTTGAGAATTCATTTCTTGTTTCTACTAAACAGATAAATGTTAAAATAACTTTAGCTCTAAACAATCTGAATACTTTATTGAAAGACTTCTATTGATTTAAATTAATAATATAAGAAAATCATCACGTCCAAAGGACGCGCATTGCCATTGACAAATATCAAAATCAAGGCGACTTGCGACCGTGAACTTCGTCAACTATGAATTTCAACTTTCAACTCTTTTTTACTCGCCAACAAAACACGAAAATATTACACAAAGTAGGAATTATAGAATATACAAACCTTAGTTCAATCTTTAAGCTTCTTTTGATGTTGGGACTTCAACATTTCGCGTTTAATTTTGTTTGTAAAATTCAGCCATGTTGACTTGGGCCATTTGCACGCGGGTGAGAATTTAATCTTGTTCTCACTAAAACGATAAATTTTAAAACAAATTTAGCTTTAAAACACCCGGAAACCTTAGTTAAAACACTTCAATACAGTTTGAGATACTAAAAAGAACAAAAAACGTCGAAAGGCAAGGCTAAATTCAAGAATACGCCAGTCGAGTCAGACAACAAGGCTCGAAGACGAAGCGGTTTGCGATTCTATGCCAACTTTGACAACAACTTTGAAACGCTTTTCGTTGTTGAAATGTGAACATTTTACATGAAGTCGATAGTATATACCTTTGAGTTTCTCTTGGGATTGAAAAATTCAGTATTTCTTCTTTAATTTTGCTTTAAAATTCGGGCAAAAAATCAAGTTTACTTCGCTAACTTCGACGCCCAAAACGAAATACCTCGTGAAAACTCGAATTTTGCAGCACGGTTAAAATGGTCACATGACTGCAAATCCGCCATTCCTATTGGACGAAACGGGTTTCTATGGAAATTAGCTGAATTCCAATGATGTAATGATTATGTTATAATCAATACAATCATGCAATTGGCTGAAAATACTCAATGCCTATTGGACAATTTCGAATTCCCAAAGGAGAATACCATTGAACTAAATAAAAAATCCAATATGGCGGCGAAAATTATCTTGTGTAAATATAAACAAACGTGGACGAATTTAACTAAATTTTGGCACAAGAATGAGTTTTAAATATATATAGTATGGCAAAAAGATAAATAAAATAATAAGTAATATAATTAAATATATAGTATGGCAAAAACTCCAAAAAGAGCCTGTGGAAAATACCTGGAAGCAGTTTTAAGAAATAATCTCGGTGGGATGCAGCGAAACGTGACTATGTAAGTCTGTATTAAATGCAATTTGTTAATGAATTTATATAAAGATTTTCTTACTCTAAAATATGTTGTTTTAGTTTGAATCATGTGTTCTAGTTTAACTTATGTGCCTTTATTTGTTTATGATCATTTCCCAAGTTTGTTTATGCCAAATTGTTTACAAAAGAATTAAAAACTCTTGACAAAATGCAGTTGAATTTTAAAGAAAGCAATTGTAATATTCTCTATAATAATAATATAATATGATGTTTGTGATGTTACTCTTAGTGTATATCCACGCCAGGCAGGCTTGAAAAATATGCCTGGCCACGGTGGGAATCGAACCTAGGACCTACGAGTATTCCAAAGATCGTGTTCGATTCCCACTGTGGCCAGGCATATTTTTCAAGCCTGCCTGGCGTGGATATACACTCAGAATAACATCACAAACATCATATTCACCTGAGTACATAACACCAACACAGAAAAAAATCAATATAATAATTAACAATTATTCGCCGAAGGCGAGGTGATTATCGGTGAATAAAAACCGAGACGAAGTCGAGGTTTTTATTCACGATAATCACCGAGCCTGAGGTGAATAATAGTTTTAGTATAATTTCATAGGTGATTATTTGGAAAAAAATAAGAAAATACACATTTCTTCGTCATTTAATTGACAAAAAGGCTTCGGCCGCCATTTTGAAAATCGCTTAGGTGATTATCGCGTAATAATCACCTCAACGGCAACCAATCAGCGTGGAGAATTTTCAATAATCACCTATGTAATTATACTAATATATTTAACAGTTATTCTACGAACTCGAGTCGAATATAAGCTGATAGCCGATGAGGCGCGTAGCGCCGAATCGGCTATCGCTCATATTCGACGAGAGTGAGTGGAATAACTGTTTTATTATATACACAAGGTCTGAATTTACAGACTTTGCTTTTCTGTTATTTTCAATATTTTTCTATTTTGTTTATGTTTTTATCTTCGCTCTTTCGGCCGATTATTTTTTCAAAAATATATATTTTTAACCATTTTATATTTTAAAAATTCATTTGCTAACCTGTAAACAATTGACCATTTGCGTAATAGACTAAATTTTGATCTCAACAAAAATTTCATTACAGCTTGAAAGAGCATCACAAAATTAGTAATATTCCAAAGTTTCGTTGCAAAATGTTGTAAAATGCGGAAAATATAGCCTTACGAAATTTGCAATTTTCAGTCATTTTAGATTACAAACCGGAAATTGACAGCCTCGAAGGGTTTGGGGCTGTCAATTTCCCGTTTGTAATCTAAAATGACTGAAAATTGCAAATTTCGCAAGGCTATATTTTCCGCATTTTACAACATTTTGCAACGAAACTTTGGAATATTACTAATTTTGTGATGCTCCTTCAAGCTGTGATGAAATTTTTGTCTAGACTTGTTTAGTTCAAAATTTAGTCTATTACGCAAATGGTCAATTTGTGGGAGTTTTTTCATTGTGTTTTTAATCCTGAAAGGGCTATAAAAAGCGAACAACTTGCCGTTTTCTCGTTCGCAAAACATCGGAAATTCAATTTTAGCCGCCATTTTGTTTTTCTCTACTAGCAGGATATGAGCTAATATCCTGCTAGTAGAGAACCAATCAGATTGCAGAATACCTCATATCCAGACCTTGTGTATATAATAAAATAATAATATTCCCTAATATATAAAATATATATATATATATATATATATATATATATATATATATATATATATATATATATATATATATATATATATATATATATATATTTATATATATTAAGATGAAAATGTTCTAGAGTGTGTATTATATAATTTCCATACCCAGCGCAAGCAGAAAGATGTTGTCTGCCGCGGCTGGGTCTTGAACTCGCGACCTTCGAATTACACAGAGTTCGTATTTATGCTAGGGTACGTATAGTTGTATTTCTCGTAGCTGTTCCTGGTTAACCCTTTAACTATTTTATTCATTGACTATGACTGCAAACGAAGCAATAGCTTGAGGTCGAGGCTGCCAGATTTTCTCTACATATATACATCAGGTGAATTCAGGTTTCAAAACCCAGAATCCTTCTCCGGACGAGCCTCGATCAAACTCACAAATATTCCGTAGCATTTCACGAAATATGGCAGTATCGCTCGTCGAGAGTCTGGTACTGAATTCCGTGAGAATTTCTTGTGTCGTAGCGCGGCCTGGTAACGAACAACCACTTGCGATAAAATTCCGGACTTCCGTCATTGTGTCAACATATTTTTGTTCGCTCGATTGTACTTCACTTCCGGCATTGGTTCCACCAATAGAATTGCGAGCTCTCATCCGGGCTAGTAACTGTGTTGACGACATAGGGTTCCCAAGACCTGCTTTCGACATATCACTTCCCTCCTTTTTCTGTATAAATGATTTTCCACTAAAAAGAGTTGTTGAGTGGTCCTAAATGAAAATAAAACATGAAATCACAGGCCTTAAAATATCTTTTACAGGGCCGTCTGACAAAATGTCCGATGACGTTCAGTTTGGGTCGGACATATGTCCGATGATGTTCAGTTCAGTTTTGACTTGGAAATAATTCTGAATGACACAAATGAATATCAGCACAATGTATTAATTCTGAACGGTAAATGTTGTGAAGATATTAAATAATTTGTTTCTTTCAACATTATTTGCAAGCCAAAATTAACTTGCTTTCCAGAACAGCAGTAAAAGATTTCGACAACTTAAGCCCGTTTTCCACTTCACCATTTCGCTCGCCGCCCTGCGCTCGACTACGTTAAAACAACATTTCCAGTTCACCTTTTATACAAGAGTACTCTGATTTTCAATTTAACATACAAGCCTCTAGTTCTGGGCTAGGGTACATTTTGATTTACGATGGACAAAGCTGCAGTTTGGTCAGACACAAATACACTCGGGTCGGACAAACAATAAACCTCAGTTTCACTTTGGTCGGACAGAATGTCCGGTAGTTCCCTCTCTACGTCGGACAATTTCACAAATGGGTCGGACAATGTCCGTGACCGACCGATATTCTAAAGGCCTGGAATCAGTTGAAAGTTCTGTGTAAATGAAATTTTAACATTCTGGTTTGTGGAGTGTTGGGTGGTAGAATGGTTAGCACATGTGTCGTTCACCTCTAGGACTAGACGGGTTGGATTCCTTTACTATGCAGTTATCTGATGATAATTTCCCCTCAGTTGTGATAATTTCCCCTGTTGTACCACTGGATAAATAGAGATTACTCTCTCATAAAAAGTTTAAATGTTTTCAAGGAATGTTTTTACCCGGGAAGGCTTACTGAAGATTAATGACCCTTACCTCGTGTGGTGTTTTTGTCTTTGGTCCAAACAAGGTTCTAAAGAAAGACAAATTTAGTTTAACTCAACCACATACTGTAGGTTTTCTAGAGGTACCCCCCTCCCCAGTTTGGTTGCCCTCTGCAGTGTGGTGACCCTCGAAAGAGAACAGTTTAGAACTGATAGAGCTGTCCAGCACAAAATTAATAAAGTTAGTTTAGTTTAGGTTTCCTCCTGCACATAGTAACACTGGATCAATAAGAGATGATGCTTACTGGACCTCTAGGAAGAACAATTTAGAACAGACAGAGCTATCCAGTACAAATAAAGTTAGTTTAGTTTTAGTTGACAATTTTAATAAACTATCTACCTTCCCTGCAGGCCAAGCGGTGAACCAACGACACCAGACTGTCCAGTCCATGTAGGAAGACCAGTGTGCCGAAGTTGCATGCATTGGTCACGTGAACGTTTCACAGCTTCAGCCGCCTGAGCGGCCACTCGTTTAGCCTCGTTTTCAACCAGAACGTGATCTGCATTGCCAGAATTAACTATCGTGTCGTGTTGCATAGCGCTATGAACACCTAAGGGTGAAAAAATGTTGTTTGAACATTGTAGTAACACAGGATCATTAAGAGATGATCCTTACTGTACCTCTAGGGAGAACAGTTGATAACTGATAGAGGTATCTAGTGTAAACAAAGTTAGTTTAGTTTAGGTTTCCTCCTGTAGTAACACTGGATCAATAAGAGATGATTCTTACTGGACCTCTAGGAAGAACAGTTTAGAACTGATAGAGGCATCCAGTAAAAAATAAAGTTAGTTTAGTTTAGGTTTCCTCCTGTAGTAACACAAGATCATTAAGAGATGAACCTTACGTACCTCTAGGGAGAACAGTTGATAACTGATAGAGGTATCCAGTATAAATAAAGTTAGTTTAGTTTAGGTTTCCTGTAGTAACACAAGATCAATAAGAGATGATCCTTACTGGACCTCTAGGGAGAACAGTTTATAACTCATAGAGTTATCCAGTATAAATAAAGTTAGTTTACTTAGGTTTCTCCCTGTAGTAACACTGGATCAATAAGAGATGATTATTACTGGACCTCTAGGAAGAACAGTTTAGAACTGATAGAGCTATCCAGTATAAATAAAGTTAGTTTAGTTTAGGTTTCTTCCTGTAGTAACACTGGATCAATAAGAGATGACTCTTACTGGAACTTCCGTGTGACCAGTTTAGAACTAATAGAACTATGCGGTATAGATAAAGTTAGTTTAGATTTCTTCCTGTAGTAACACAAGATCAATAAGAGATAATCCTTAATGGACCTCTAGGGAGAACAGTTTAACACTGATAGAGCTACCCAGTATAAAGTTAGTTTAGTTTAGTCTACTGTAAAAAGATCTACCTGATTTCTTGAAAAGTTTCCTCAGAATATAATCATTATCAGCATTTTGATCAACTTCACCAGAATCTTTTTTCGCATCGTAAGGTTCTGAATGGCTCAGTTGACCAATACGAATTCCTTCCACTTCTGAAATTGACAAACAATAATTCTGGTAAAATATGTTAAAGTTCACGTGAACCTTCATCATGGGTAGATTTCCTGTACTTGAAAACTCATGTAAGTAGTCTATGGTTGGTTCTCTCCACAGGAACTACGAGGATTCGATGATTTTTCTTCGAGTCATCTGGTTTTCCTCTCTCGCCCAAAACTAATCCTTAAGGCTAGTTTCCACTCAGGAAAATTATCCGTGGATTGGAACGGACAAGAAAATTTTTCGTTGTGTTAAAGTCATTAGTTGCAACCCAGAGCTCACAAGAGAAAGAAAAACTTTCTTGTCCGTTCCAATCCACGGATAATTTTCCTGTGTGGAAAGTAGCCTTTAGGCCTTAGTTGTCGAACCTCTGGTTCAGGTAAATTGGGCGACCATACCATAAATAAATTACCACCAATACTATTTCTTCGATTTACTCAAGAACTTACTATTTCGTTTCCGTTTTTTGCTTTTCTTTTTCATCTCCTTGTTTACTCCATTCCTTTCTTCCGCTAAACCGCCATCCACTTTCGAGCTGCCATCCTTCCCAGAACTCCGTGAAACTCCCATGTAAGACTGAGTATTAGAACCACGAGACTCAGACTCCTGAACGTCACCAGCCTTTGCGGTCTCATCCGCTAACATTTGTCCGTCACTTTGTATTCCCGATGTTGTATCGCTGACTGGCCGAGCGGTCGTCGAAGGGAGACGATTCAATCCCGACGTAGTACTACCACTTCCATCATTTGCAGCAACGTCTGTTCTTAGACATGTATTCATTACGTCATCACTATTTCCCGCTTCACTTTTCGTTTCTGTCTTATCACAATTTTGTTTCGACTGTTCTTTCAAAGATGAGAACTGACTTATAGGTATTTCATTCATGGGTATACTATCTACTGTTTCGTTTTTATTCGCCGTTGTATCAGCATTTTCTTTCTGCTGTTCTTTTGAGAACTGTGCTTTAAGTATTTCTTTTGTGCGCTCTTGGATAGTTTTTAAAACACTCTCATCACGAACAGCTGCGTGTTTCCTCTTCGTTTCTTTCGCCTTTCGTGGGACAGGCACCTCGCATCCGAGGCCGGCAAAAATGGCGCCCGTTTCAGTACCAGATTCTTTGCTGTCTGAGGTGTCCAAAGTAAACAGCTCGAAAAGGTCATTGGATTTGAAGAAACGCCTTTGTTTGGGGTCTTTCAGAACGCGATTTGTCAGGAACTGCTTGAAGATTTGTCTTAAAATTAAAATAAATTACTATACTAACTAACAAGGGGTCACAAAAGGTTTTTGGCATTCACAAAAATATTTTCCTTAATAATAAATAATAATAATTAATGGCTTATTACATTCACTAAATAGCTTAATAAGCTAAAATACAGTGTAGTTTACAATGATAGAACTTTTACTATGATAAAATTAAATGTAGAAAAGTTTTAATACTATGGTTCCTACTAAACTAAAGTTACTTTGTCGTAGAAAAGTCAATTATAGAAAAGTCATTTTGTTGTAGAAAATACATAAATTAGATTTATGTTAATTATTACTCACTATAAATATAATATATAAACCCTCATGTTCACTTGTCAATATAAAGATTATATTTGCCAATTGCATATACAATTGGACTGTGTTTAAAACGTTATGTGTTAGCCTCATTCATTCTCGCCTCTCGTCGCTTTATTTTGGAAATGTTTTTTGGTAAAATGATTGGTCTCTAATCTCCTCCACACTGTATTAGAAACATGCTGTATACTATATACCAAGGGAATAAACAACAGTTACCCTCACAAAACAACAGTTACCGTCACAAAACAACAGTTACCCTCACAAAACAACAGTTATCCTCACCTATGATAAATCTTCTCCTCAATGGTGCCTGTGGTCAACAAACGATAAATCGTGACATCCTTCTTCTGTCCCACGCGCCACGCGCGTTCTTTCGCTTGCATGTCCGTCCCAGGATTCCAGTCGGGATCGTAAATAATCACGCGGTTAGCGCCAACTAGATTCACTCCCAGGCCACCGACGCGCGTTGTGAGTAGGAAGACGAAAATGGACTCGTCCTGAAATAAACGAAACAAACCTATCCTTAACGAGGCTAGCCATAGCAACAGTGTTTTGTACAGTGAGCATACCTATTTTATTTCCTCGCTATCATATTTCCTGATTGACTGCTACTGTTTACTGCACATTTGTCCCAATGACCATTGGCATTGACCCAGTTTTTCGAAAGCTGATTAGCTAAACTAAAAGGCTAACCTCAATTTCAAACCCAACAAGCTGTTGATAAATTTGGAAACATTTCTTCAGAAATCTTGTGTGGATCAGTAGTTTTCTCTCAAGTTTTGAAATAAACAGACGTGCAGAAATACACAAACTAAAACGGTGGGTTAAATTTTAACCCAGGGTTAGTACTAACCCACCTTTGAACAACCGGCCCTGCATCTACATAGGTTAAAGACAATACATTTCTGAACATAGCCTGAGCGATATCTATATCTTACCATGTTGAATTTCTCGATCAATGGCTGCCGGGAGGCGATAGAAGTGGAACCATCCATTCTGCGATAATTGTAACCTTGAGATTTCACAAAAATTTCCAGGATTTTCAACATCTGTACAAAGAGCAGAATATAGTTTCAAGTTTGAAGTTCTCCTTGTATTTCTCAGGGAGTGTGTATCCCTATCAACAGACATTCCAACTCTCCCGATTTTACCGGGAGTCTCCCGAAAATTCATGCAATCTCCTGGTCTCCCGATTTTTATCAAATTCCCCCGATTTTTCAGAGTATTCAGGAAATATCGTAAAAAATCATAATCATACTGTTTTTAGCAATCATAATAGTCTGTCTTGACATTTTATGAAGTTACTTTATGGCATTTTATATAGGGTCACTTATAACAACATCTTCTCAAAATGCAGGAAACGCCATTTCAGAAGACTTAATTTTTATTATTCCCCCCCCCTCCCCCCCCCCGAAGAACTAGATTTCAATTCACTGAACAGTCTTCCTAAATTTTATCTCCAGTAGTTAGAATGTCTGCTATCAATCCAAGGCTTTCTTATATTCCCACTACCTACAGTACACTGGAACATACTATTCAAGATTAATACTAGTTACCAGTTTTCTAACCCACCACGGCTTACCTGTCGCGTCTGCGTAAACAGTAATACTTTATGTTTTTGTTTCTTCCACAACTTGAGCAAAGAGTGAACGACAATGAGTTTCCCAGCTCGCTTCCAGTGCCCATATCCGCCGTCAATTTCGTCGCGACCATCAGGTGTATTTTCACGCTGGGCTTCGTCTTTTCTTAACTTCCATAAAGAGCCAGCTTCTGTGGTCAAGTCGGGATGGTTGCATATCTTCCGTAACATGATTAAGCCAGGAAAAACCTATGACATACAACACAATAAGTTAGGAAATGAACTAATTATCACGCTGTATACTTGAACTTGTATTTACTAATTGCCAAGCGCCGGAAAATCAGAAAACATTGTTTCCTATCCATGTTTTCCGAAGGTGGACAAACTAGAGAACATTCTTGCCTGGTAATGAACAAAAGGAATTTATTTTTGTCCAGAACAATGTTTTCAAGAATGGATGGAAGAATGGATGGACTAGGAAACATTTGAAAAAACAAGATTTTCCTTCACCTTCATAGTTCCAGAGAGAATAGACCCAACGTCCCTCGAGGCTAAATACTCCTTGTATATTTCCGTTTGTTCTTCAGTGAGACGACAAAATAACACCTAACAAGACAACACAAATTCCTTGAGCCTTACATACATGTAAATGTCCAGCTCAGGCTTGCCTACGTACAAGTATATTGTCGTTCGCATTAAATGATGAACAGTCATGCATGAAAACATTGCCTTGCATTTTCACGTGAAGCTTGAATGATTGCAACGAGCATTTGACAGCGTTCAATTAGGCTAAGTTAAGATCGTTGGGTCAAAGGATGAACATCCCATGTTTAATTAGCCTAAGCTTTGCCATAGATTGCGAAGCTACACAACATGTCACTGAAATCTTCAAACTCTAGTTACAAACGTTGAAGCTCTGTTCAATGATCCTACGACGAAAACCAAGGTGGCGTGCGGTATGTTGGATGGATGTATCGTTCCTGACCTGTTCGTTTTTGCTTGGTAAATTCAATGTCATTTTGACGTCTTTCTTCAATCTTCTTAATAAATACGGATTGATCGTGTCCCTCAAAACACATGCACATTTGTACGCAGTCTGCACCTGAATGTGATACAAGTTCATTTTTAAATACTATGTTTATAACAACGACAACGACAACGACAACAAACAACAACAACGACAACAACGACGACGACGACGACGACGACGACGACGACGACGACGACGACGACGACGACGACAACGACAACGACAACGACAACAACAACGACAACGACAACAACAACAACAACGAGAACAATGACAACGACAACGACAACAACAACAACAACAACAACAACAACAACAACAACAACAACAACAACAACAACAACAACAACAACAACAACAACGACAACGACAACGACAATGACAACAACAACAACAACA